TAATATTTTAATAAAAAATTACAAATAAAAGTTTATCCTCTTTTTGAATTCGCCATAAAAGAAATCCTTATTTGTGATTTCCTCTCTCTTCTAGGGAGTTCTTTTGACCCTAAATTTTTTTAAATGCATAACTCTTATTTGCGGTCCCTGCAAAATAGTGATAATTATAAAATAAATTACCATTTCATATGTACTATGTACTATGCTAAAGATTACGGAAGACAATTTAAACTAGTCTTACTTTTTTATACCAATGGATATTTTTATAAACGTTAGTTCTTTTAACCTTATAAAGATCTTGAGTACATTTCATTTAAGTCCAATGCAGCCACTATGTTTACGCGTGTGGGCGTGAGCTATATTCCATGTAGGTTATATATCGGAATATTAGTAGTGCGCATATTTCGGGATGTTTACTACTCGGGCTTTCTTCTAAAGCATCAATTTAGATATGTATATGGTGGTTCATATTACTAAATATTCAAAAGTGTGCAAATGACAGAAGAATTAAACTAAAAATTCAAAATATAAATATCTGCATTTAGATACTTAATTTATCAAAATATCAGAAAGAATTTCTTATTAATAAGGACTAGCGTAGCGCGATCGGATGAAAACAACAGATGAAAAACTTATTTTATTCATACAATCTGCTCAAAGTGAACAATTATTATAGTCAAGACACTATTCCAGAGCGGACCAGATGTACCTTGAGTATTAGTCCTCAACTTACTGCTAATAAATTTTGGGAAACCCTGCTAAGACTAACGGGGAGTGTCGCGCGTGTTGCTTACTGTCCCGTAAGATTACATATCACATTTCCCGGAGAAATTCTTTACAGCAACTAGTCCTCGCCTTATTGAACAGTTCCAAATAAAACGATTTGTTTGCTTATGAAAAGGCAATTGTGACATTACATATTTTATTCAGTTTCAATTACCATTTCATTTATAGAATTGGAAAACGATGGCACACATTTGAATGTACATAGGATCATATATGTGCACACGTGTTTAGGCCATTAATCTCACGTTTTTCTTTATATATGTAAGTCTGCATAGCTTTGACTCGTCTATCAAATGTAAAAAGATCCATACTTTGCTAGGAGTTGAAAAATTTATAGTTGTAACAAATAGTTGATAGAGAAGTATATAAAAATGTGCGATATATCAGGAAATTTACTAATAAATCCGTATTTTTTATTTCTGGCGAAATTTCGTGAAAATCTGAAATCACGTGGCGTGGTGAATATAAAAGTCACAACAGTAGTTCAGATGGCTAGTAAAAAGTGGCGCCAAATGAGCAAGGCTCAAAAAGCTATTTACAATCAAATTGCGCAAATGAATCGTGAATCGCGATTGAAATAAAAACTTACACCGTTATACATTTGAAAAACTGTAATGTGCGCGGTCACTTCTCTACGACGCTATCGATATTTTTCAATTGATTAAAATAAACAACGCTTTTCAACACTGTCCACGACAAATCAACATCTTCGACACATTTTTCATATTAACTAATTTGCTTCGCATTAAAATGAGTTCCGGGTTTGTTACTGAATCCGAGGCAGCGGAAGCCCGACAGCGTCGTCAGGAAGAATGGGAACGTGTACGCCAGCCCGAGGATCCGTTGGAGAGACCAGAGGAACCATATGACGGTCGCTCCCTGTATGATCGCTTGAAAGAGCAAAAAACAAAAAAGGATATGGAATTTGAGGAAGCCCACAAATTGAGTATGTTCAAGAAATTATAAATTGAACCCATAAGTTATTGCAAATGTCTATACATAGAGAACTTGATTCGCGGCTTGGACGATGACGAAGTGCAGTTCCTGGAGCTGGTCGATGCTCACAAAATGAACGCTGAGCGTCAACAAATGCATGATGAGGAACTGGAACTGAAGGACTTTCGCAATCGTGTTGAGAAACTTCAGGAAGAGAGCGTAGACAAGGTGGAGGGACTTGCCACGAATTACATTTTTCTAATAATAATCAATATTGTTTATCAAAACAGAAGCTTCAAGCGGAACTAAAAACTACCGCCAAATCCGTTGGCGCTCCGACCACAGTGCGCAATACACAAAAGTCCCTACTAGGACAGGGCATCAAGCGCAAAAATGGGGATTTGCCCACAAGCAGCAGCAAGGCTTCAAAAACAGAGCAGACCACGCCCACAAAACAAACGACATCGACAGCTGTTTCCCCACAATCAAGCAAACACGATGTGGGCAGCTTAAAGTGTATTGCCATATTGCCTGGCATTGGTTCCTACACGGAGTCTAGCGATTCAGATGGCAGCAGTGACACAGAAGAGCATGATCACGATAAGAGTAGCCTGGCCGACCTATGTGGACGCAAGGTCATCAAAAAGAAACAATGCGCCGAGTGAATAAGTTTCTTTTGTATTTTGGGGCAACAACTTACGGTGGATTCTTAATTATAATGTTTTGCTGCAGTGAATTATAATAAACTAGCGATAGAAAAAAATGGCTACGTGTCCTTTTTCTTGTTGCGATTGCGATTTTTCACATTCGTCGTCTCATAGAAATTGCTGCCAATTTTCTTGCGTTTCTGGCTGCGTTCCAGCGCGCGTTTCTGTTTGGCATTGAGTCGTGGCACCTTAACGCTGGATGGACCATCGTCTTCGCTATCATTCTGCTCATCCGAATCCCCTGGCTGGACCTTGGCAATACGGAATTTACCGGATGATGTGATAGCTAGTTGTTGGGTCTTTTTAGCCTTTGCTTTCTTGTGCACCACGCGCTGCAGCTCTTCATTGTATTCGTCCTCTGAATAGAAATCACTGGCGCCATCACTAGAATCGTCCTCCTGCTCTGGATTGACCAGACGCGCCTTTTTCCGTGCCGCTCGTTCTGCTTTCTGCTGTTCTAAAAGCTCCAGATCAATGTGGTCCAGCTCGCGCTCATCCTGCTCCTCGTACTCCAGACCCACACGAATCTTACGAAAGTCTTGTATTTGCTTGAACTCACGCGCCTTCTTTACGGATTCACTCACAAACGTAGGTGCCTCCGATTTAGCATCTTCATCATCCTTAACAGCGGTCTCTTCAGGAGTGGCCTGCTCAGTGGATGTGCCCTCCTGTGATTTGGGTATGGCAAAGCCCTCCGGTGGCACATAAAATGGCAACTTGCCACGCTGCCAATCATTGAGCACCATGCGTGCGGTGACTGTGATATCCGGCTCACCACCCTTTAATAGTTTACCCGTTTTCTTGGCCAGCTGCTCGAGGAAGTGTGTGGATGATGTCCAGCTTTCGATTTTATAGTTCTTTGCAATATACTCTTTGCGCACACGTTTTAAAACTGTGTCTACATAATCTTCCGGATTGGTGACAAGTTCCACGCGAACTACACCTTTTAGCACCTTCTCCGTGTCCGTTTCGGCAGACGGATAAACCACACCGGGGCAATCAATCAGAAATATGCGCTTCATTAGCGTTATGTATTGCCAAACCTTGGTCTCACCCGCGATAGGAGCTACATTACAAACCTTTTTGGAACGCAATGCATTAATAACAGAAGATTTTCCTACATTTGGATAGCCAATAAAACCAACACTGATCTGCTTCTTATCCATGTGCAGTTTACCCAATTGCCGGAACAAATTGATCAGTGCACCTGTCAAAGAGTATTTGTAAGTATTTTGATACCAAGCTGAGGACTACCTACGCAAGACTTACCTTTGCCGAAAGGATGCTGCATGGACGCATGAAAAGCTATTGTAGGATATTCGGCACTAAGGATTGCCACCCATCGCTGTGTCACCCATACAGGCACCAGATCTACTTTGTTTAAGATAAAGAAGAGGTGTTTGTGCGGTTTCTCTTTGCGTAGGAACTCCTCAATATACTTGGAACGTGTACCCATAGGATCGCGGGCATCGAGAACCTGTAGAAGCACATCCGAAGCGTCCACAACTTTATGCAGTTCATTCCAAATACGTTTGCTTTGACCTGCCCCGAATACCCAATCTCGCACAGCCTTCTTTTCACCAGTATCTTCGCGTATGAGATCCACATCTTTGGTGGAATCATACTGATTGGCTTGCACATCGGCAGCACGACTCAAATCCTCGAGGTCTCGCGCTTTTAAACTGACACGTTTGCGTTGTTTTTTTGGACCAAATACGCTGTCGAAGCTCTCCGTCTCTAGCAAATGGACTCGTTGATACTTCGACGCTTCGTTCAGCAGCGTCACGGGCAATTGCGAGGGTTTCATAATGACCTGATATGGGTCTTTGACTGCCTTGCCAATCTCATCCTGAAACTTTTGTAACGCTGTTTGCGAAATGACACGCGAGTTGCTGAACCATTTCGGTGTTGGCTCCACTCTAGCCATTGTTCCAGCGGGCAGACGACCCTGAGGACAGAACAAAACTCGATTATCTTAAGCATCTTTAATGCCTACATATGAATATTACCTGAAATGGTGCTGGGGTAATAATTTTTCCAGTACGATCGCGTTTGGCCTTGAAATTACGATACATCTGCAACCGCTTAATCGTGCCCTTGGTACGTGGGTGGGCTACACCTTTAAGGCCACTTGTTGGTCGCTCCGGATTCATAGAATGGTTGGAATGGTTAAAGCCCTGCGTCCGGGGCTTGCCCGGAGTGCTGCGCACTTTCGGCATCGTAATTATATTTTATTTACGCGCTTAAGTACGATTTAGCGGCTGTTCTTACAGCACGCACGTATCAAAACAAACACGTTCTGTTCGCAAAAGGGAGGTTAGGTTGAGAGGGTTTTTTTTATCTAAGCAAAATATCGATATTTTAAATATGGACTTTATCGATATTTATTTAAGGTTTCAATAAGATTATCCATTAAAGTAAGAAAACAAAATACCAATAGTAGAGCCCCGTTCAAAAATGTTCCGCGAATTATTATGGCCTTTACTAAAATAATACCACTAACCATACAATAATACTTGCACAGAAAGTGTGCTCCGTCTTCAGTAATTTTATAGTAGAATCTGGGCACTCTGTTTTTTTTTTTACACCACCAAACATAGCAGTACCATTATCAACAGTTAAAACTATGTTGAAAATAGTATGCTTAATAGAAAATGAATAAAAATATTTAATATGATTGCTAAAAGTTAAATTACTATATATTAAGCATATAATGCCTCGTATTGAAAAATATTACGAGAGTCCGACTTTAAACACAATTTTCAGGTGCTTCTATTTGTATGTGTCGAACTGTAGCCAAGAGGTAAGCAGGTTTGTATCCGTGTATGCATATTTGTAGTTGTAGTTGTACATTTCGATGATGGCCACGAGCTGCACGCTCGCTGCATTTTTATATTAATAATTTTAAAAATCTACACATTTAGTTTATTTAAAAATAAAACAATGAAAATGTAGTGTACAAATTATAAATTAGACTATAGTGGAGTTTTAAAAAGCTAAATAATTTCGTTGTATCATTGTATGTATTTAACAAGCTCCGCTTCACCACTGGGTACGTGTGCGTGGTGTATATGTGTGTAATTGTCTGTGTGCTTGGAATGTTGCTCTGCACGAAATTCAAATTGTGACCATCCTTGAGATTATTGAAGTGAAGGGAAGAGTGACGGCAAGGAACTTTAGTATTAATTATGCAAAATAATACATATTAAATAAAATGAAATGGATGAACACACATTAAATGACTTATTGGAGTGTTCTGTGTGTTTGGAACGTTTGGACACCACCTCCAAAGTTTTGCCATGCCAACACACCTTCTGTCGCAAATGCTTACTGGTGAGTGATGTGTGTGTTAATGTTATTTTTGCGCTATATTCATTAATTTTGATTTTCCTGTAGGACATTGTCGCCAGCCAGCAGAAGCTGAGATGTCCAGAATGCCGTGTCTTGGTGAATTGTCGCATCGATGATCTGCCGCCAAATGTTTTACTAATGAGAATCTTAGAAGGTGAGTGCTCCATGTGTATGGGCAGCCACGTAGCTAATACTTTATTTCTTACTTGTTACTCAATATAGGTATGAAGCAAAATGCTGGCAAAAATGACACTAAAACCGAAGAGTTGCCAAACAAAATACAACAGCAGCAAGAAGCTCAGCCCACGCAACAGCAATTGCAACAGAAGCAACAGCAGCAGCGCTACCAAGACCAACAGCAACAACAACAACCACGCTCGCAACCGGAACAACATCAAGCAACTCGCCAAAAACCGCGACGATTTCTGTTGCCGCACGCTTACGCGCTTTTTGACTTCCTGAGTGGTGAAGCGAACGATCTGAAATTTAAGAAGGGAGACTTAATTTTGCTGAAGAAGCGCATCGACAACAACTGGTTTGTGGGCCAGGCCAACGGGCAAGAGGGCACATTTCCCATTAACTACGTCAAAGTAGTTGTCGCATTGCCCATGCCGCAGTGCATCGCCATGTACGATTTTAAGATGGGCCCCAGCGATGAGGAGGGCTGCTTAGAGTTTAAAAAGAGCACCGTGATTCATGTGCTTCGACGCGTCGATCACAATTGGGCAGAGGGTCGCATTGGACAAACGATTGGCATATTTCCTATAGCCTTCGTTGAGCTAAATGCAGCTGCTAAGAAGCTATTGGATAGCGGCACCACAAATCCGTTACCACAGGCACAGGCACAACTAATGCAGCAACGCGCTCTACCGCCTGTGCCACTTATCGATCCCACCCACATCACGAATGATTCCAGCACTGGTTCTTCCAACAGCTATTCCTCCATCAACAACAGCAGCAGCAATTCAAGCTCCACCAGCAGCTCCAACAACTGCAGTCCTAACCATCAATCGCTTCCCAATACCCCACAACATGCAGCAGCTGTGACTGCAGCTGCGGCTCTGTCTGTAGCTGGAGGTGGATCGGTGCGTTATCGTGACAAGGGAGCCAAGGAGAAGCGTCACTCGTTGAATGCTTTGCTGCAATCAGCGCCACTTAGTTTATTGCAGACGAATCGACATTCAGCTGAGATACTGAGCTTGCCCCATGAGCTGAGTCGGTTGGAGGTCGGCTCACAGGCAGCCACAGCCACAGCCACAGCCACATCCACTTCCACAGCAGTCATAATGCAGCCGTCGCAAACGTCGCGAGTGCTTAAGACTCAGATGCATCAACAACAAATGCAGCCTACGCTACCTTGGGGATATCTCGCATTATTTGCCTACAAACCACGACATGCCGATGAGCTGGAACTGAAAAAGGGCTGCGTTTACATAGTTACTGAACGATGTGTCGATGGCTGGTTCAAGGGAAAAAACTGGCTAGATATTACAGGAGTGTTCCCGGGCAACTATCTGACACCATTGCGCACACGCGATCAGCAGCAGCTGATGCATCAGTGGAAATATGTGCCACCCTCGACGGATATGAGTACACCAGCCCAATCGCTGGATGTGCGTCTCAGCAATATGCTGCCTATCCATCCGCCAGACTTACCGCCGCGTCAGCAACATCAGAAACAAGAGTCTCAAGCAACTATAAGCAGTTCCGTCTGGAGTAAGCCCGTCGAGGCGCTATTTAGCCGAAAGTCCGGTGGCCACACTGAAAGCAGGGCGGACAGTGTGGGCAGCAGCTCTGGCGCTGTGGGTCTTATGCGCCGTTTGACTCATATGAAGACCCGCTCCAAATCACCAGGTGCTTCACTACAGCCGAAGCAACAGCAATTGGCGAACAAGGACTCAAGCACCACAGCAGCTGAAAATGTGGTCCAAGCCGCGCCCTTACATCCAGTGCACGTGAGGTTCGTGCAAACTTCAATTCTAAACAAAGCTGCATAGCTAATGTATTTTCATTTCAGATCTGGCTCATGTCCCAGTCAGCTGCAGCAAAGTGAGCAACTGAAAGAAACCACTGGAGCAACTACAGCAATTCCTTCAAATGCTGCCCAAATCTATCAAGATAATAGGAACGTCTCATACGGCTCTCAGCGTATCAAAAGCAACAAGGATCGCCCGCAGTTACTCTGGTTAGTTTTTGAGTAATATAATATAAGAGTAGAACACAGCTAACGCTGTCTGATTTTTCTCATGGCAGTGCTAGACAATCCCTGGATGCGGCTACGTTCCGCAGCATGTACAATGCCGCGTCTCCACCTCCACCTTCAAGCCATACACAAACACAGCTGCATGCCAACATGATTTTAACGCCCAATCACCGCAAGAGTCAGAGCCTAGACGCAGGTCATTTACTAAGTGCCAGCAATAGCAACAGCAACAGCAATCTAAACGCTAACAGCAACATTATAACAGAAGCCGCCATCAAGGCCAGTGCTACGACAAAGTCGGTCTGCTGTACGCAAGAGAGGTGAGTTGATCATTGATTTTCATTTGATATAAGCTCTATACTATATAACTCAATATGTTTTGCAGTCGCTTTCGGTGCATTGTGCCCTATCCGCCGAATAGTGAAATTGAACTGGAATTGCGCCCAGGGGATATTATTTACGTACAGCGTAAGCAAAAGAACGGATGGTATAAAGGGACACATGCTCGCACACATAAAACTGGTTTATTTCCCGCTTCCTTTGTGGAACCGGATATTTAACCTAGTTTACATTCCTCAACTTTTGTTCTTTCGAAATTAATCGCCGGTCGATTCGTGCTTCCACAAATGTTTAACAATTTCTCTTTTCGAAAAAGAATAGTTAGTACTTTACTTCGAATACAAATGCTCGAATATGTAGTTTTTACACGGTTTTTTAATCGAACTAGGTTAAGTAATGTACTTAAGGCACTAAAACTTTAACTAGATAGTGAAATCGAAATATAAATTAACGAATCAATGAACTAACTTCAATTTGAAATCTACAAGAAGTTCGAACGTAACCATTGTTATGCATAATACTTGTACTTACACATATGTATATTAATATATGCGGAAATAATAAATCATATTGTCTGGCAATACGGAAACGATAACAGACTTCAAACATCCAATTGAACTTATTTTATTCACCAATATTTAAAAATATTTCAACTAGAGTTTAAACATCGTCTACGTCTAGCTTAATCGCTCTTGTCGAACTTGGAACCGTAGATGGGCATGTACTGCAGCACCAGCTTCCAGTCGGTGTAATAGAGCAAGGCCAAGCCAGCGGCACCACCGAAACCTGCGCCGGACCGTACGCTAAAAATATAAATGGTAACATTATTAATGTTAGAATTGCCTGATTTGATGATTATTGGTTACGCAATGTGGTTGCATGTTCTCTCTTTTCTGTTTAAGATAAATGCATTAACATAGTTTAAACATTATTGATACTTACAAGGATGATGCGATTTCAGCGTGTTTCTTGCCAAAAGGTATACGGAAAGCCATTTTTTTCGATTTAAATAAGTCTTTGTAGCTAATAAATATCCACCGATTACTGCTGTAAGACCGTAATACAATACACTAAAAAATATCAAATACAAAGAGCCACGAAGAAGACTCTTGTGCGGTATCCCTGGCCAATCAAAATACTTTTTTCACTTTCTTAATCAAAAATTCTTATTCGAATTAAAGCCAAATTAAATAATAGAAGCTCTATCAAAATGCAAATACAGAAAAAACGTGTTTAAAAACTAAAAATACTAACACTATGTTATTGATATTAGTTACTTTTTTTCCATATATTAGGATCTTTCAAATGAACAGAAACATTGGCAACCCTTTCAAGTGGACTACGTGAATATCAACAATTTGTCATCGTTTGCAGTTTTGCATTTGCATTGTAATTCATTTTATATTTACCTTATTAAAATGAATATTGCTATTTTTGGTGAGCTCAATCAATTTGAACTGGTTGTGCTCACTAGCTTGATGCCAGCCGTATTTATTTACTTGTGGATATTGATAACCGGTGATATTAAAGTAAGCTATCCCAATTTAAGATGTTATCAGCTGAGAATTCCAGTGATCACTGTAAATTTTTGTATTTTCAGAATTTCGAACGTAGCAAGACAGCATATTCGGTTTACATTGCAAAAGATCCTATCAATTGTTACCAAAACTATACAGAAGAGAAAAAGGATACGTAGGAAATGAAATAAAACAAAATATAATAAATTTATCCAGCGAAAACTGTATTAATAATAAATGGATGTAATACTATAATGATCATTTACTTGTGTCCGTGAAAAGAAAAATCATATACTTCTAACCACTAACCACTAACTCTAAAATTAAAATATTAAGCAGATAGTTCTTTTAAAAAGGTAAAATACTTTGGCCACTGAACTAAATCAAGAACTAACAAGTTCAGCTCAAATGCAGTTCATGAGTCACTTTCATGTGTGCATATGTATGTATGTATGTTTATATGAATGTGGATGTACAGCAGGTGAACAATAACACTTTCTAGTTAAAAACAATGCAATCATTTTTAAAGCGATCAATTTTCAATTTCTGACCTCTTACAGCAACACTGGAGGCGTAATTCAAGACTAAAAATCGCGCAGTTGTAAAGGCTAAGCACAAACATAGCAAAAAAGAAATAACGACGCAAAAATAAATAACATGTCTGAAACATACGGTTTGTATTGCTTATAGCATTATCCTGCATTAATTAGTAATTAAATTTGTTTGCTTGCAGATTACCTATTTAAGTTTCTCATAATCGGCAGCGCGGGCAGCGGCAAAAGTTGTCTCTTGCATCATTTTATCGAAAGTAAATGTAAGTTGATGATTGGGAAGACTGGGTGGTAAATAGACAGGGAAAATGACGAACACTTCAGTTCATCGTTATACATATGTATATACATTTACATATATATATGTCTAAAACGATGAATATACATATTTAGCATACATTATTTTACCAATATATCGATGTGAATCCCAATTTTATATTAAATTTGTATGAAAATGCATAGTGCAACACATGCCTCTAATTCCTGTAAACAAGTGTTAAATTTACGTGATCACAGTTTATATACATGTTATGTATGTTTTCTTTATCTATCCAGTTAAAGACGACAGCTCCCATACGATTGGCGTTGAGTTTGGGTCGAGGATTGTTAATGTGGGTGGGAAATCGGTGAAGCTTCAAATATGGGATACAGCTGGGCAAGAACGATTCCGTTCAGTGACCCGTTCGTATTATCGTGGCGCCGCTGGCGCTCTTTTGGTGTATGATAGCACGTCGCGGGATTCGTTCAATGCCTTGACTAATTGGTTAAACGATGCTCGAACATTGGCCAGTCCAAACATAGTTATATTACTAGTGGGCAACAAGAAGGATCTGGAGGAGGCACGTGATGTCACTTTCCTAGAGGCGAGCACATTTGCGCAGGAAAATGGTTTGGTAATCATGACTAACCATGAATCAATACTAATAAATGATTTGTATATTTCAGAGCTTATATTCCTGGAGACGAGCGCCAAGACAGGTGAGAATGTGGAGGAGGCATTTCTAAAGTGTTCAAAGACAATATTGGCCAAGATAGAGACGGGCGAATTGGACCCTGAACGTATTGGTAGCGGCATTCAGTATGGCGGAGCTGCGCTGCGTAATCTACAAACAAGACAACGCAGTATTAACAAACCCGACTGCACCTGTCGGGTGTAGATGATAGATTATAGATGATGCAAAGAGGAGAGTTTAACCCAAGTTGTAGGTCATTCACTTGAACAATATCTGTGTATTAGTTTAGGTGAGCAAATTAATCTCATTTAATCTCTAACTACTTGATACGAAGCCGCATTAGCCTTAGTTTTAATATATGTGTATGTAATGTATTTTTCCTCAATTGTTAAAAAAAATGTTTAACCGTATCTGCGCAGTGCAATTTGTGGCATTCCAAAATATTAATTCGTTGTTTTTTTTTTTTTTTTTTTTTTTTTTTTTTAATTGACTTCTCACCTTCATTGCTGAACTATTTGTACCAGTTTCTTTTAAAGTGTTAACGTATACTATATGTATGTAAACTGTAAGCACTTCAATAATTGCAAAACAAGTGGCGGGCCCCAATAGTAACAACAACAACAACAACCATTAATAACTGGAATCGTGCAACGAACCTCTAGATACGGGCCTGCATCATTTGCGAATACAAAAACCCCGTGCATTGATAGTTATCATTATATGCGCCCAGCATTTTGTAAATAAAAAATTGTAAAGAACTTTAAATGAATTGTGCACGCGTAAATAAAAAGTATAATAATTTTTAAAAACTAATAATATATCAGATTTAGCGGGGCTTCCACACTCCAATTTGTTACACGAAAATGTTGTGTTCGTCAAATATTCTAATGTGGATAGCAGTGTTCGAATGAACATTTAGGACAAAAATAAACCAAAATTATTTTAGAATTGCTTTTTATACCGTAATAGACAATACACGTAAAAATATTGTAACAAACATTTCATATTCATGAAAAACACAACGAAAGTAATAGAAATTTCAACAATACTTTCATTTAAATGTTTACATTGATAAAAAATCTTCCATTAGATAGTCGACAGACTCTTGTGGCAGTTTGGAAAAACTATGTAATCAAAACAATATCTGTTATGTCGGTTCAATTCGGATGTAAAATTTAAAAATATTAGTTTCTGTATTAATGAGACTGTAATTCTTCGACCTTTTACCTTATTAACGTAAAGAGGCGTACTTTAGGAGATATAAACTTTTGCGGTTTGCCACGCTCCCTGTGGGCGGACATATGTATACCCGACAAAACTTTTTGGTCTTGGGTGGTCAGCCCGAGTATATACACAAAATTTGAGGTCTCTGGCATCAATAGGGTCTAAAAAATAGCAGAATTTAAAAAATCACTATATCTTCGGGTCCGATTTGCCATGCCCCTAATGTGCGTATACATTAATTTTTGCCTTTAGACTTTATAGAATCATAACATTAGCTGACGTACAAAATTTCAAAATTTCAGATACAGTTTTATCTGATATATATAAATTATCTGATATATATAAATTTGGTTACTATCGAATGATCATATAAAAACAAGTAACGAAGCTCTAGTTGAGATTGCTCGATTACGAGATCCTCTGAAACGTGATATACACGAACACACACAAAAACAAGTAAAAAGGCTCCAGTCGAGACTGATCGATTTATACTCATTCACGAAAGTGAATTAGTATATTGGGTTTGTACAATGTCCGTCTTGCTGTCCGTCCGTCTGTCTAAAAATGTTCAAAATAGGCTAAAAAAACAAAATCAATTTTTCGATTATTCTCGATAAAAAAGTTATCGGATGAGTTATCGAAAAAATATGATAAACTT